TTTTTTTTTTTTTTTTTTTTTTAAGTTTTTATATCTCCCAAGATAAAATCTAGACTTTATTTGTGAATAAATGGCTTTAGAAGTACAAACATATCACTTCAGAGTCTTACCAGAGTTTGTCTGACAATTCCTTGCAACATTAATAACACCTCAGTCATTGTCTTAGACGTCTGGTATCAAAATTGGTTTCTCAAAGTCATCGGTATAGAATGGATCTACCAATTACAAAGGCATAATAGAGCTTATACTGATTATCTGTCTTCTATTTTCAACAAGTTAAGCTGTAGAAAACTACTTGTGCCTTGACTAATCCCAGCTATGAAAAAGGAATGTAATCTATACTACCAACTTGTTAGTTTTTTATCTTCTCCCTCTTTGTATTCTGTATGAGGTTCAAGCTGCTGATAAAGCTTTAATCTCTGGCATCTAGGCCATTTTAAAGTTTAGTCTGCCTTTGGCTTTTTAGAATATTTGTTTAACCACACAATGCTGACTAACAGTGCTATGTCCTCTGTGGAGGCACTTAAGATTTTATTATTCATCTTGTTCAGGGACTCCCTTATCCCACAGGAAAGAAGTCAGATGATAGAAAGCAGTATGGCATGCTGAGAAAATTGTGGCCAGAGAGCATTTCTAGGCTATTCTAATCAAGCCTTCCTTGGCCTCTGCTGGGGAAGAAGTGCACAATTTAAGAGAAGATCTGCTAAAAGGCACATAGGGGAAGCAAAGAGGCTGGAAAACGCAAAAAACCTAGAAGAGTTCAAAGAATGAGATGCAATGGCCTAAGCATGAATCAGAAATAAGAAAATTTCTCTTCTTAAGTCAGAGAACATGAAATAGTGACACAGGTACTCTTAGTTGAAATGCATGCACTATAGTACATGTACAACTCCTCCCATCCAAATTGGCATATTATTTTCCAAAAGGGTAAAACAGAATAACTTCTTCTGCACCTGTCTGTAGCCCAGATTTACAAAGACAGAAAATAACAGGGCTGATAGCTATAAAATACCTAGGATTTTTAGACAGGAAAGAGAGGATTTTTTTGCCTTTTTAAAAATATATATATTTTTTTTGAGAGGCAAGGTTGATGAGAAGAGAGGGAAACTGAATGGAGAAAAGGAGAGTCAGAAGGTTACCAAGCATGTAAAAATGTGAGGACAGTTTCACCTCTGCAGTGCTTTGTCCAAAGTATGTGTGTCTTACTACATTAACAAAGCTGAAAGAGTAACACAAAGGTAAGGGCTCCAGTTGGCTGTAAGATTTTAATGCCTTTACTGAACCAGTAAAATCTAATTGCAGGTAGTTGTAAATTTTCTGACCCAGTCACTTGTGAGCTGAGTAAGTGCAAGCACTTACTGAATACAATACTGCATGTTCATTGTATGCTTAACCAGGGAGGTAATCACAGCTTTCTGTAACCTTATTCCAGAATGTGATGGAAAGACTGAAACACTGCTTGCTGTATTTATGGTGTTTTAAAAGTTGTCTGACTAGTCTTAAGTTTTATGACAATTTACAGCATTTTCAGCGATGTGTGCAAGGAATTACTTAAACAGCTTCTGTTCTCTGTAACAGCAATTGTATAAAAAATCTCTAAACACTGCATTATTTTTTTAAAAAAGTTCTCTGTAGGTTTAATACATAGATAGGTACTGCTTTTTCAACAGCTGCAATAAGCTGCTGACAACAGGTTCCTTGTCTTTAAAGAAATTCCATAAGAGGCTTAAAGAAAATAAAGTCTGTAACACAAGTACTAGAACATAATGAGAGTCTTACTCAGCTATAAATTTTATCTGTGACTGCTTTTAGCTAATGAACAAAAGCCTGAGGCCCATTAGCCCACACATCTTGAGGAGAAACCATTTCTCTGGTAAATATTCAAAATAATCCCTTCTCAGCTGAAAGACATTGGCTAGAGACCATCTGTTTTCAGAAACTATCTTTGCACTGAGCCCTTCTCAAACACTTCCATCCCAAGATACCAAGCCCTGGGAACAAAGTTAAACCAAATGAGACTGGAAAAATCACAGACATGAACAATAAACTTGAGTTATAAGAAAAATTTGTTCTTGATATGATTATTTTAAAAGCTGTGGGTTTTTTCAGAACATGGAAGACAACTGGTGGTTGTATTATTCCAAGGAGCCATGTTGCATAACAAATACATATGTGCCAGTTTGGCACACGGGTCCATGCATGCAGCTGCATTTGGTAATCAGGCTAGCCTAGGTGTGCCTGCAGAGATCTTGCAGCAGAGAAAGCCAAGCCTTAATTTTAAACATAAACACATTCCTTGAAAGCAGGTAGACAGCCATTAGAATAGCAAAAGGAAAAAAAAGAAATGGAAACTCTAGGCAGCTAAGGAAGGAAGAGGAAAATCTAAACAGGTGCTCATCCAGCTTGCATAAGGAACACTTACTCTTGAAACTGAGGTTCAAATTAAAAATTTCTATTGTTGTTTCCTATGTAACTGCTCATGAAGGTACTCCTTGCTACAATTACAGATGATCAGATAATGCAAAAATAGTCAAAGACTTTCATAGACCCCACTGGTTCTGGAGACCATTCTCCACAGTTGATTCCATGGGCCCAGTGTGAGACAGGGTATCAAACAACCTTCCTCTCCTCTTTCGCCAGTCATGGAACTTGCAAAGCAATGGTTCAGGCAGAAAAATTGAAAGGATCTGAGCCCAGGAATGAGCCCTGGGCTCATTTATCTGGATGTCAAGAGGTCTCATAAAGGCTTTTCAGAGAGGGATGACAATGGACAGACCACTGGCTCCCCAGTCTAAGACTTGCATCAAGACCTACTGCAGCCTACAGTCACCTTTTGAAAAAGTTATTTGGGGTATTTCTGCATATTAAGAAGTAATGTTCAAAGGTCACCAAGCGCCATGCAGAATATGCACTTGCACTTTGAAAAGATGCATGTCAGGGGCAAAAGGAGACTTTATCTAACAGAGTTACTCCTCTCATTTTAATCTAACGTGAATGAGAAGGGATGCTGGCTTACCAATATACCAATACAGTATAGAAAAGAAACAACCTCAGCTGCTGTATTTCTAACATCAGACAACTTTAGCTCTCTTTAGGAAGAAGTCCCTGGACTCAAATTGTCTGCTGAACTGTTTCCACCTGGCAAGAAAAACAGCTGTCAGGGAGCCAATTACAGCTCACTGAATCTCAGGATTGATTTCCCTCACCCTAGGTTAGATCACCCTGAAGGCTCGTCTAAATTCTACCACCTGCCAGAGCTCCCTGATGTGCAGCTGTACTGTCCTCTGGTCACATTCCCTCCTAATGCTGACACAGGTGAAGATCCCTTAGTCTAGAGAAGTCTCCTGGGGGCTCTTGGGTTAAATTCTGAGCTCCACATTTTTTCTACACCAGTGTCAGGGGACCAGGACATGGTAGAATTGTCTCCTACTTCAAGTACACATTCTCTGCTTCCATTCACTTCTGTGGCATTACAGATACTCAGCAGCGTGCCTAAGACAGACCTTCAGCTTGACTTTTTTCAAAGCTTTCTATAATGAATAGTATATATTGGGGGGTAGGGGAGGAGGAAGGGGGGAAAAAAAAAAAAAAAAAAAAAAAAAAAAAAGAAAAAAAACT